GGAGGCGAGGGTCTCCGCCGCTGGCGCAGGGTACACGTTGCTTGTGTGTTTCAGGACAATGGGGACCACTTCACGTACACGGGCAGCGGCGGTCGGGATCTGTCCGGGAACAAGAGAACCGCGGAGCAGTCCTGCGATCAGAAGCTCACCAACACCAACAGGTCTGTGGGTGGGCGCTGGGTCGGAAGGAGGCCGAATCCACAGCTATCGAGTAGGTCCTGCCCCCTCCAAAACCGAACCGAACCGAACTCACTGCCCCCGAGTCGAATCGACCAGATTTAAGACGGGACGCCATTCACCGGGGTGTGTGGGGGGCGTTCTTCATTACAATTTGATCTATAGGCACCAAGTAGACCGTTCCCTAGCTTGTCGTGCATTCTTTCCAAACGTCTGGTCACCTCTGGGGCAGAGTAGAACTCACTGCCCTTGCAGGTTTCCGGGACTAAAGTCTTCCCTGGAGCACACGGCCTCTTCCTCCTCCTGCAATGACTGATGGGTTTCCACTAGCGACCTGCCGAGCAGCTCACTCTGCCACTGGGGGTCTCTGACACTTAGTGAGCCTACACAGGGTTTCCCTGCGTGTGAAGTTTTACAGAAACGGCCAGCCTCTGCTGTCTTGGGTAGGAGGTGGGTTTTAAACAGCCTTAGGGTTAGCAGCCCAACACTGAGCCCCCCGCAAAGTGGATTCTGACTCACAGCAACCCAACCCCACCGGAGAGGGTGGAATTGTCGCTGTGGATTTCCCAGCGTGTAAATCTTTACAGGAATAGAAAGCCTCATCTTTCTTCCTTGGAACCATGGTAGTTTCAAACTGCTGGCTTGGGGGTTAGCACCACCAGGGCTGCTGAAGGCACAGACCAAACTGTCTCCCGTACGACCAACGCGTGCCCAAAACAGCCACAGGCATAGTGGTGGGTCAGTATCAGTAAAGCTTCATTTGTAACCATGGGCAGGCCTGAGTTGGCTGACCCGATGGTCAGAGAGAGGCTGTTTCAGCCATAAAGCCTTTGCTGAGCAGGTAGGGAAAGGCAGAGAGACAGACTGCTGACCGAGGTATCCCACATTGCATCAGTAAATCCTGTCCGTGAAATTAAATGTCATTTGGGGGTAAAGTTGGCAGTGGACACGTCATGTGGTGTTTTCATTATAGCAGAGCTGATAACAAGCCAGTAACAGAACAGAAACTCAGTAGGGAAACCCAACAAGACACACACACACACACACACCGCCCCCCCACCCCCCCAACCCACTGCCTTTGGGTCCCTGCTGTGACACCCTGTCAGTTCATTGTCAACGATGGGTTTTGTGAATGGACGCCTTACAGGTAGCTGTGGTCATCAGGGGAGTTGTGCTAGGTTGCTAACCAGAGGAAGGTTGGTGGTTCAAATCCACCAGTCCCTTGTAAGATGCGGCCGTCCTTCTGCTCCCAAACCCCGTGTAAGAAGAGTCTGAGTCAGAACCAACTTGGTGGGCAGGTTTTCTCCATTTTTTGTTTGAGAGCCGGTCGCCAGGCATTTCTCCTGACTCTTAACTGCTGGGTCGCTGGCGCTCCTTGGGCATCTCACTGAGGGGCAAGGACGGGGGCAGGGACTCACCCACTGAACTGCCGCTTCCCCACAGGGCACTGGCTTTGAACTGCAGCGCGCCCATCAATGAGCGCAGAGGGGCCGTAGCCAAGAACTGGCAGGCAGGGAAGCCGGTCCGCGTGGTGCGCAACGTTAAGGGCCGCAAGCACAGCAGGTTTGCGCCCACCGAAGGCAACCGCTACGACGGGATCTACAAGGTGGGCCCTGCAGCCGCAGCCCCGCCCGAGCCACCCGCACCACCCCATCCCCCAAGCTACAGCTAGCTCATGCGCCCACCTCTGCCGTAGGTTGTAAGCTACTGGCCCGAGAGGGGCAAGTCGGGCTTTCTGGTGTGGCGGTATCTACTACAGAGGGACGACGACGAGCCCGAGCCCTGGACCAGGGCAGGTCAAGAACGCAGCAAGAGGTTGGGGCTGACCATGCAGGTGCGTGCACAAAGAGGGTGGGCCGTGCAGGGGCGTGGCCACACCTGGCCCCTAGGTCTTGTAAATACCTTACAGGGTGGGTGATGGGAGTGGGCAGTGGGAGGCTTTGAGTTCCTGGACATGCCTACGATAGGGAGTCTTCTGGCCAGCTCTGCCCCGGCCCCACCCCAGAGTTGTTCTGTACGCACCTCGAGGTTGGTGAGTTAGGGCTCTTGGTTGAGGCTTTTAGGCCCCATGAAGCGTCGCTTGGTGCCGAGTCGGTTCCTACCCATAGCGACCCCGTGCACAACAGAAGTTCATGCTGCCCAGTCCCGCGCTGTCTCCACGATCGATCGTTCCCATCCATGCTTGAGCTCCGTGTGGTAGCCCATCTCCGTGAGGGTCTCCTTTCTCTCCTTCGCTGCCCCTCTACCAAGCATGATGTCCTCCCTCAGGGACTGGTTTCTCCGACAACATGTCCACAGTAGGTATGAAGCACCAGGTTTCCCCGTCCTTGCCTCTACGGAGCTCGGTCTACGGCTGCGCTGCTTCCAAGACAGACTCGTTTGCCCTTTTAGCAGTCCGCCGTACTTTGCAGGGTTCTTCTCTGGCACCACAATTCAAATGCATGGACTCTTTGGTCATCTTTATTTCGTGTCAGACTTTGACGTGCAGACGCGGCCACTAAAAATACCCACAGAGGCCGTTCTACTCTGTCCTGTAGGGTCACTACGCTGGAATAGATTCGATGGCTTTTGGTTCAGAAGTACTTGGATAGGCTGAGGGGGTGGTATGGGTGGTCTGTCTGAAGATGTGGATGTTGGGTCCCTAAGAGGTGTGTGGGAGCGCTGGTGGACTGCCTTTCCTGTGGGAGACGTGGGTTCAATTCCTGCCCAGTCTGTGGGGTCGCCGGGCAGTCCTCTGTGGGATTCCCTTAGAAAGACAGGAGGGGTGAGCACCTTTCAAAATCTAATGCCACGAAGCCGCGTGGCGTCTGGCCCCGTTGCTGTGCGTGGGTGGCTGGGGTTCAGGCGGCCTGCATTGAGCAATGGGGGGAGGCCTTGCCTGCCTCTACTGGAATTTACGCCTTTTTTCTCCACGCCTGCTCCCCCTTTTCTCCTCTGCGCCTCTCTTCCATGCCCTGCCGCAGAAGCAGGGGGGAAAGAACAGCCAAGCGACAGGCTGTAGGATGGTGCCCCGAAGAGGTGGGGTGGTCACGGTTACTCTGGCGCAGCGCGCGCCAGCTCCCAGCTCCAGAG